TCTTGTCATGTGCAAGATCACCAGGGACAGAGCAGTATTCAGCAGTCATCAATCTAATAGCTTGGGGAAGGAGGAAGGAGGTCTTGGGTCTTGGGGAGCAGTGAGAAGGGCAGTTGTTTACCTTGCTGTGCCTTTTTGTTGTTGTTGACACACAACGTAAAAGTACACACAAGGCTGGCTCCATAGTACGCTGTAAGGAGCCACTCTAAAACAGGATATCAAGGCCAGTGCTCAGGGGACCAGCTGATTCTGCAGGAAACTAAAACTTTTAAACATAAAGTAACAGCATTTATTGTAAGTGATTTAATCAGCATTTGAAATTTCTTTAAAACATTTTGGCTTTAATATCACTTCAACCCTGTAACTCAGCCTCTAAATTTTTTCAGAAAAAAACAAAACTGTACACCGGAGCAGCTCCATTAGGATCATGGGATCCAAACTGTTGGAACATGTGCTCAGTTTGTTTAGATACCTGCATTATAGGCGATGTAAGGTTGTTGCCCATTGTAAGTGTATTTGAATATATGGCTTGAAAATGTCTCAGCATATTTCCATTTGAATAGTTCCTTTTCTGTACTGACATGGTTATGTTGTCTGTTACTTGTAGTATTTTTTATTTTCATGCAGAAAGATCCAACTGTATAACTATCTTCCCTGCAACTGTTGGTACTAGTAGCAAATTATAATAAGGGTAGAATGGAAAACAGCCCAGGGCACCAGACTCCAGCGGGGCCATGAGAATGTTAAAAAAAAACTCTACTTTTTAGGGTTATTCAGGGTTATAATCAATCTTTTTCAGCTCTGCAAGTCTTTAGATATTTTTTTCAGAAGCAGTTTAGCAGTGGCAGCCTTTCTATGCAGTAAAGAATTACATTAAGATAATGATTATGCACAATACTGGTTCATAAGATCCAGTTCAAAAATCGCCTTCCATATCCTTTGTAAATACTTTGTGAAATCCATTACAGACAAGCTCATCGCATTTTATTGTATTTTTTATTAATTCTTTCACCCAATGCTTTTTTTGATATGTACTACATTGGCTAGAGATATTAATTACTTGAACACTTCAGCTCTGGCCTGGTTTGGCTTTGGATGTTGATTTAATGTTGTGTTTCAGTTTGCCTTGTACGCAGAGCACTGAGCAACAAATGCAGCAGAACAGGCTACTAAATCTAGACTGTTATAAATGCAGATGTTAAGCTCTACAGTGCTGCCAATGGGCTGTGTATCTTTGATTACAATTATCAGACAGCATCCTGATAAAAAGTATGGCAATACAGAGATACGTACATATGGGATAGTAATGGCTGATAAAGAATTTAGGGTTATGTATCAAAAGTCAAAACGTTTTTCTTAGTTATAGATAATATTGTGAAGTGTTACAACCTCTATCAGGTTGTATTAGGTTTATGATGAGCAGATGCACCCTTTCTTTTAGTCTTGTTCACCATTATCACTGGAAAAGAGAGTAATGGGATATTCAGTATTTTGCGTTGAAACCAGAACAGTGGAAAACTTCCAATGGGGACACTTGTTCCAATGTGTTTTCTTCTCACTTTCTGCTGTGTCTACAGAACAGGAAGTGAAGGGAAATCTCCCCAATGAGACATAAATTAAAAAACACTGACAGTGGTTTAACCACTCACTATTCTACCCAAAATGAAGAAAAAATATTGCTTTTAGATATACTGTAATGAATTAAAAAAACCTGTTAATTTATTAAAGTGTGTGTTCACTTTTGTGAAGTGAAAGTTCTCTTAGCTTAATTAATAAAACAAAGTTATGTTCACATCAACTAATCATATGCAGGCAATAAAATAGTTTCCCTCTCATATGATTTCAAAGCAAAAATATAGTTACATAGTTTGTGTATGCGTGTGTGTAGGAGTCACTAAGGATTCCCATACCCCCTTCTAGATGTAAGACATGTAGAAGTTTTTTTTAATGTGTCTATATACTCTCTGTAAGGTAAAACTGTCTAAACACAGCTTTACTTTATTTGTTAAAATGAACATTAATTTTGAACAGCCTTTACTCCTATAGTACATCAGCTCCATTGACTGCACTCAGTAATTTATCAGGCCTATGTATTAATAAAGGATATATCAATATTTCCTGCTTCCCTGGAGTGCTCATACAAAAACAATTATCTAAATTATTCTTAACAAATTGTAAATAAATATTATTTAGCTATTCTGTTTGGTTAAGCCCTAACAGGCTTTTAAAGCACTATTGGAAATTATAAAATTTAGCTTGATGCCATTGGAGTGCTAACAATTAAGTGTGGAATATTTTTGACATAGAAGCTGTATTATACTGTTTCCACAATTCCCACATGGAAACGCCACACGTTACAGTCTAATTGAACAATCTCTTTAAAATCTATCAACAAGTATGTAGTGCAAGGGCCTGCTTGATTGGATAAAAATTGCTGTAGGTCCTCATATTACATAGTGTAGGTGGATCTAAAGTGTATTGTTGAGTCAGACTGTAACGTGTATGGCGAGCCTTTGACTATTTACAGGCATAAAGGAGCACAACATATACAAAATAGTATAATTTTATTGTCCCATCTTAGCAGAAAATGAAATGTTGGAAAATCTCTTTAAATAAGGCATATACTTGATGACCAAACATACCAAGAACAGAAATCAGCCCTGTTTTCTTTAAAGAGAAATATCCCAAATTGTTGTTTGTGAAAGACATCCCACGCATTTTCTCTGACATGACAGACCTCCATGGAAATACCAGACTTAGCAGTCCAGGCGTGAACTCTATTGCACTACTTCCAGCAACTTGATCCCCTACTAGTTACTGAGTGTTAAGTACAACCCTAGAACTTCAAGGAGAGAACTTGGCAGATGCTGTTTAACAACTAATAAAGGGATTATCACTATTTTGTTCTATTTTTTAATATATACTATATTAATTGACCAGGTTTGATTGTCTATCTATGTTACATTGTTTTGGTATTGTTGCGCACTCATAAGCTGTGAAAAGACAGGACCTGGAATACCTGACTTATTATCTTTGTTAGATTTTAACTTTTTAATTAACTGGATTGTGGCGATTATTTAAATTAACAGTTCCCTTTTTTACGTACACAGTATTAGACTTGTGCGCCGTCAAAAAATTTGTTCTGTTTCGTTTCGGAATATCCGTTATTTCGTATTTCGTAATTCGTAACTGAACTCAATTCGGATTCGTACGAAATACGAATTTTCGTTAGTGGCGGTTATATTTTCGTAACTTTGCGAACATTCGTTATGATGAAGTTAAAAAGCAAAATACCTTTGTTAATATTGGAGTGGTAGTTGTTTTTTAACGGATTCCGTATTCCGAATTCCGTATTTCGGACTTTAAAAAAAAAAACTACCATCAACTCCAATATAAATGTACTTTGCTTTTTACCTTCAATATAACGAATGTTCGTAACGGAACGAAAATACGTCAACGGAATTTCGTATTTCCTGCCTGTATTTGTGATGCAACTCTCAGCAGCAGAAGAGAACCTCTGATTGGTCAACCAAAATAAAATACAAATTCAGTTAACGGATTACGGATTCCGAATTCCGTATTTCGGACTTAAAAAAAAAAACTACCATCAACTCCAATATAAATGTACTTTGCTTTTTAACTTTATTATAACGAATGTTCGTAACGGAACGAAAATACGTCAACGGAATTTCGTATTTCCTGCCTGTGTGTGTAACTGTGTATTGTAATGCATTAGGAGCAGCGGATCCGTATCTCGGATTAAAAAAAAATCTTGTCATGCTGTTCAACCTCATTTACAGGGGTAATATAAGTTCCTGTTTCAAAGAAATTCGGATCCGAAATTCGTTAACGGAATTTCGTATTTCGGATATAATTCGGAAACTGCCATTTCAGGAAAATTCGTACGAATTTCGATTCGTAACGAAACGAATCGCACATGTCTACACAGTATGTGCCCTTTTCCCTTATTTGTTGTGCAGATGTTAAAGTAAACCCCAAAACAAGAACTAAATATATTACAGCTTACCAGTTCTTAGATGTGATGGCTGCATTCGTTTTCTTTTTTTGTGCTTTTTAAAATATATTTTTACCTAACGATCCTGCTAGTAAAGCACTCCCTGTCCTAGGGTGATTCTTTTTCACTGTACTGTATCTATGGAGCAGCAGTGTTGGTAACCTAGCACAGGTGTTGTTTTAGGACTGCAGAAAATATCTCCAATATTTTTAATGGTATATTTAATAGAGAAGAACAGAACAATAAGGGAAGTTCATTACTATGGTTTACAAACACTTTAATGAAGCAATCAGCCCTAAATTTACTCTAGGCTTACTATATGCTATTGGTGAAGCTTGAAGCAGAAAACCACATCCATAAATTTAGAAAATATGTGCATACTCAAAAATACACCAAAGTATGATGCTGTGAGCACACTTTACTCCCCACATTGCTATACCCTACTATGCTCTTTTTTTCTCTAAAGCCAGTTCTGCCCACTGATGACACCATCCCACACATGCAAACCCAGTTCAGTGATGCCCATTCACCTTTTGACTTGGGTTTACGTTTGAATGGCAGGGAAGTGACAGTATGTCACCTCCGCATTCAGAATTTAGAATTGCAAGTCACATGTGCACGCAGAACACAGCAAAGCTTTTTCTAAGGAAAGAGCCTGGATATGTTATCATTGCGTTAAGATCCCACTGCTATTTTAATGTATACATACTTTGGAGAGCAAAGATCCACTTTAAGTTTACTATTTTATTATTTACCACAGCTATAGATTGTCATTTTGAAGTGATTCCTACGGCTGACTGTGCATTCAAGACCAATCATTTAGAGCACAAGTTCAGCAAAATCGCCATTGCCTCCTGAATACAGCTTTTTGATGCTTAAAAGATCTCAACAGTGCTAGATATCAACCATGGTTTCTATGGTGGAGAGCTGTAAGAAGACCCATATAAAATAACTGAAAAGAATATATGAAAACAGTGTGACTTACCACTAGATTTCCTATTACCATGACTAGCATGAACACAAGAAGGCATAAGGGTTGACCGCTAACTTCCATACAATCCCACATGGTCTCAATCCATTCTCCACACAAAACCCGGAACACAATGAGAAATGAGTGGAAGAAATCACTCATGTGCCATCGAGGTAACTTGCAATCTTCATCAATCTTGCAGACACAGTCCAGGTAGTTCCGTCCAAAAAGTTGCACCCCCACGACAGCAAAAATAAAGACGATGATCGCTAAAACAAGGGTAAGGTTGCCAAGAGCCCCAACAGAATTGCCAATAATTTTGATGAGAGTATTCAATGTTGGCCATGACTTTGCCAATTTGAAAACGCGGAGCTGTAATAGAGATAACAGTTCATTTCAGTTTGTAAAGTTTTAGTGCATATGTGCATAAAACAGGTCATAATTCTCCTGGTTATATTCTGAGATTCTAAATTTTGAGACATATATCTTAGGGTTTATACCCAAATTCTCAAGGACAGTTTTTTCAACCTCAAAGTTTTTTTGCATTATAACACCTTTTTTGTTATTTATTTATCCCAACTTCCAAATCATAGCAATCATTTAAGTTTTAAGGTTATATAAAGTACAGAAACCTACAGAGAAATTTTATCCAAGAAGTAACAATTGCATATATGTTAAAACTGCTGAGCATTTCCTCATATTGTTATTTTGAGGAGCAATCAGGACCAGATTTCAGCCAACATATGTTGTGGCCTAGGGCTTCACACAAGCATACATACATCAGGTTGATGATTGGGTCTGCAGTTAGAGCCAAACTGCTAGCAGAAGAGGATAACAGTTATAGATGTACTGATGCAGAGTGGGCAAGTTGTCTCTCAGCTTGGGTGTGTCTTATGCAACTATCACATCTGTTCCATTTAGTGTGGTACTAAGGCTAGCTAGTCACAGGGTGAGGAGGGGATGACATAAGACAGTTGGCCTTGGGGGGAAGAAAGTCTAAGTGTGGCCCTGGGAGCACTACAAATACTTTCACTGTTAAAGCCAGTTAAGCCATTGTCAAAAATAGACTACCAGAGTCAATTTACATGAAATGTTCCCAACTATAGCCATACCTGGACAAATCCTTCCAAAAAAAGTACAATGGATAATAGGAAATCTACGTATGTTAGTTTATATCGTGACATAGCCAGGACCTAGTACATGACTTTTCCCATGGCCTTCAGAAGCACTACTTTCAAGTCATTTTGTGAGTGTGACCATTGATGTTATACATAGTGAAGCTTTTTTTGTGCTAGATCTGTGAGCTTCTTCCTCTTTCCTGTCATTGCTATCGCAGTGGACTATCCAAGTCTGCTGGTCTAGTCTTATAACCTATCCTTCTCATACTGCTGTCAACCTAAACCCTTATACATCAGACCTCTTGCTCTGTAAAAAAAAAACGGTGTTTCCTAAACCCAATGTTCAACACATATTTTATTGGGGGTTTTTTTTCTGATCATCCTATGCTTATGTTTTTAAGTGAATGGGCCAAATCAGCAACTTATGTGCTTCTTGCAAGGTAAAGAGTTTTTTGAAAACTAAGGAAATGTACTACCATTATGGCAAATTTGAGTCTATGGGGTCTATTCACAAAGCTGCCAAAGAAATGAGCAATGCTTAAGCAATACTTGAATTGGTTTTAGTTGTTTGCAAATACAGGGAGATGTACGTCCTTGACCTAAGTGTTCAAGAAGCACCAAAAATATAAGCTTACCAGTCTGAAGGAACGGAGGACAGACAAGTTTCCCTTGCTGGAGAGACAGAATTCCATTAAGCTCAAAGTCACAATAATGCTGTCAAAGATATTCCATCCCTGCTGGAAATAGTAGTAGGGATCTAAGGCAATCATTTTTAGGACCATTTCAGCAGTGAAAATACCAGTGAAAATCTGTGGAAATACAAGCATGATAACACATTACTGAAATGCTTTTCTAACATGACACAGCAAGCATCTGACTGGTTTCTGGTTTTGCCAAATACACTCTCTCAGTTTTACCAAATTTCTACCCATACTGTAGGCTGGCTTGCATTAGCACTCATATTAGGACCAGAAGTTCTGAACTTTGGAGCATCTGGAAGTCCTTTTTGTTTTGCACCGTTAACAATAAATGCTGAAAGCTTTTTTTGATGTTCCAAAAGTCTGGAAGGACTTAAAAAGGGAATAAAATCTGAAAACACTGCAGGTTAAAATTGGAGGAAAATGTTTTTCTCTTGCAAGTGTTCAGATTTGCATTTTCTAACTCGAAATTAGATAATTATCAGCTCAAATTTGATTGGCTGCAGTTGGAAAGTACATACAGTTTTTCTGGAAATATATTCTTAATACACAAGTCTTTATTTACATAAAAACTCAGCAGCAGCACTTGCAATGTTCTCTGTAGCCCCTTGGATCAATTGTCTTCCAGAATGTTTATGAACCTTTTAAGATGAAAATGTTTGTCTGTTTGCTCAACTGCGTTACGATGGGAACGGAGTGTTGTGCACTAAAAAAAAGTATGGCATGCTGTACTTTTTTCAGTGCGGCAGGATGCGACACGGAACAACCGCCTTGCACCCCGCTGTACCCATAGAGCTCTACCAACAAAAACGTGCCAGGATAAGTGCATCGGCATTGTTTCGTGCAGCGCACCCCAGCCGCTTTCTTTTTAGTACAGTGGCTGTTGTGAACTGGCCCATAAAGCTTACAGTGGAGGTCAAGTTTCCAAAGTTTGTGATAGTTATTAGTTAACCTATAGAAACAGAACATGAATACAATATATATAATACAGTATCTGAAACCCAATTATTCAAATGAAATATATTAAAGGGAACTGATTTACCTGGAAAATGAATCAAATGTATTTCCATTTATTCCTGAGACTTACACAACCCTGCCACACAGCAGACACACCACTTTTTCTGTTAGAATTGTAGACTGTAGAAGGAATGCAGTGGTGTCCCCTCTCCACCCCCAGCCTGTTGAATGGACAGTGAAGGAGCAGCAGCCAAGTGATGAGCTCTCCCAAATCACTCTGTCCTTTCTCTCCCACTATCAGCATGTTCCTTGTTTTATTGATGAATACACTGTTACATTAATGTGTATTTTTTATATCTGCATGCAGCTCTTCTTTAAATCTGTGTTATGTAATTTAGAATATGGATTTAAGACAGAAATAAAATGTATTCTCAACTGTGCACCCTTCATGACTGTACAGTCGAGTGCAGGTTTGATTTGGTCTATGAAACTAAAAGCAGCGTGCCATTCAGAATATTCTTTAGTATTCAGAAAACTTTTTTGACAGCTGTATTTAACTTTTAACCCTAAAACCAGTGCATAGGAGTCTGGGTGACTTTAGCATTGACTTATTAAAATAAGGGCACAAATGGGTTCAAATATTGGTTTGCCTTTCTCATGAGTATTAGCCCGCCTGTTCATCTGCCAGGATATGATGTAATTCCAGGCAACATCACAGATATGGCAGCTCCCAGGGGAAAGTAGAGATGCTTCCAAGGTCTAAATATAGCTGCCGGAGCCATTCTGTTGCCTAAGAGCTACTCCTCACTATGTGAACTTTTGAAATGCTGCCTGGAACAAGTTAAGTGGTGTGTTCTTCTAAGCTTTTTATTCTCCTTCATTTAGACAATGCATTGTCAATAACAAGTCTGCCCTTCGATCGCCCATTTTTTAAATGCAGTTTACTATTACTGTAAACAAGCAAGAGCCTCTGGGAACACAAGGCCCCCAGGGGGCTCGTATCCTAACTTCCCTGGCACTGTGTTAGCATTGTGTACAATAAAATGCCTGCACACAGTCATTTCAGATTTCCCTAATTGTAAACACCTATGAATAAATGAAAATCATTTTGTCTAGACATGTATCTGATTCTGGCAAAAGTTTGATTATTTGTATATATTTTCTATTATGTAAGAGTTTTAATATTTTAAAATCTTGTTGAGCGCTATTAGTATTAATTTTATTGAGGCTAAATACCTCTTCCAGATTGATAGGTCTGTTCTGTAAAAAATTATCCATAGCAGCAGGAATAGTTGGGATATGCCCTTAAATAGTAAAAAATGTGGATCACCAACTGACAGCCTGTCTACCTCCTCTTCAAGAAATTAAATAGCTTTGTTAACCTAAATGTAGAGTCATTTTAAATGTATTGTATGGTTTATTCTTTTTTCTCTATCATATGCAACCATCGCACTTGATACTTGATGGTGTTAATGCTGACATTCTATTTTTGTGCCTCTTGAACTTCAGTGCAAATTATTACTTCCGTCTAAAAAGCTTCTCTTGGCCAGCATTTTGGGCATAGAGTAATTATAGTCAAAAAAGATCATTACACCGTATCATAACCATGCACATAGAAGGCAGCACTGGGCCAGTTGCAGTGAGAGTTTTTCCCAGATACACTTTTATAATGAACAGTAAGCATGAGGTTGTGTGTTGGCATGTACTCTTCTTTGTACACATAAGACTAGCATTGTGATATTGTTTTTGATCCTTTATTAAGAAATGTTTAGATTTTCATAGATCAGCTTTTCCTTAACTACTTTGCATCACATGGGGAACTCCCTCAGGGGAGTTCCTAAAAACTGTGGTTAATCACTTTTAACACAGAATAATAGGAATTCAGACAAATGTTTCTAACCCTTGAACAATATATAATTTACTTATATAAATACCTGTTACTACATATGCTGTCAATCACTAGAAGGGGACGTGATGGAAAACTTCAAGTCCCCTGTGTTGATTGACAGCAGCAGTGGGCGGGTGCAATAGCTAGTTTGCTATTGGCTATTGCAAATTGAAATATTCAATAAGAATGTAGCTATGCATACCTATGGTGTTTTTTTTGTATTCTGACGGCAGAAGAAATTAAAAAAAGACAACAGAGCAGGGAAAGGTTTACTCTGCTCGATCGAGCAGAGAAAAACTTTCCGGGTGGAAGTGTTTCTCTCCCGGCCGGCCTGGAGCTGCTATCTAATAACGGGAGAATCCCGGAGCGTCCGGGAGAGTTGGGGCTGTCTGGAGATCAGCGTCCCTGGGAACCAGGGACGCTGATCTGTCTGTGCAAGTGGCCGGAGATCCGCCCAGCAGTCAGTAGCAGGCTGTCAGCTGGCCAATGGCCGGCCGTTCGGCCAGCTTCGGCTTTCACCTCGGCTCAGTCAGCCGAAGCATATGCCTTTGGCTCGACTGAGTCCCTCGGCCAACTTTGGGAGCTGTATGGGCTATAGTGAATAGCCCGTACAGCAGCCCTTCGGTTATAATGAACCGAAGGGGTCCTGGGGTGGAAGCTAGCCGAAGGATCAGCCGAAGCTACGGCTAAATCCTTCGGCAGCTTTGTGAATAGACCCCTATATGTGTGAACTGCTCCATGCACTTATGTTAAAGCACAAAATTTGCACAATGCACCATTTAGATCATGAAAAATGTAGGGTTTTAGGGTTTAATGTGAGCACTTTTTTAGTTATGTTTAAACAGGAGATGGAATTCTCCAAAAGAAAAGTATTAGAAAAGAAATAATCAAAAAGAGAAGTAAAATTAGATAATGTGAGGCAACTGTGGCTACATAGATAGGAAGAAAAAGGTTTGAGACAATTATTGCCCAGTGTGTAAGTTGTACTCTTCGATCTGTACAAATAGTTTGTGACATAAATCACGTAACTGGGAATATTCACCTCCAGCAGGATTCACCATGTTGGGTTGTCAAAAAGGGAAACTTGCAATATAGGATATATGTTTTAATAGGTTTCTAATAAAAAAATTATTTTAATGCCAATAGGGTTGAGCACGCATTATTTTTGCTTTTAAACAATAAAAAACTTCTGGCATTCCCAACTTAATAAAAAGCATTTTAACTTACATCTGTGTTACTGTTATAGAGATTTCCCCTCACTTCCTGTCCTGGGAACAACCTTTTACCCAACAGGAATTAAAAGTATCTCTCTAACAGTGCCTCCTACACCATTAAAACATGACAGGAGTTCTTATCCATCCCCACGCTATCCAAAACTAAAACTAAAAAGTTTTCGTTATAGACACACTTGTTATAAAAAAAACATGACTTAGCCTTGCACATCTTTGAATTATTAAAGCGAGAACAGCATCACATTCATCACATATTCAATAGCTCTGTGAACATTTACTGATCTTTTAGTTAGTCAACTCAAAGCTGATTTACTAAAGAAGTTTGCAATCCTCACTCAATAAATTGTGTGAATAATAACTTCAATTATCCCAAAGAAAAGCAAATTCTTGTTCACTTTGAACACCCAATCATGTGCAGATGAATTAGGTAAACAGGAATTTGCTGTTCACGTGATTGGATAAGTGAAATGAAATTTCACACCTTCTGAACTCTTTTATTTAATCAGTCTAACTGTAGGCAAGCCCTAATAGAGCATTTTAAATGAAGCAAAGATGATACCACTTCTATTAATTTTTCACAAAGTCAAATCATTTTTATTATTACACATTACTTACATAGTTTCCAGTTGCCAGCATTCTTTCAAATTCGTCTGTCATCTTATAATGTTCCAAGGCCATGAATAAAGTGTTTAATACGATACAAATAGTAATAGTCAGGTCAGCAAAGGGGTCCATGACTACAAACTTCACCCCTTTCTTGATATTTAACCATGTAGTACAACAGTCCCATATGAGGAACCTCTGAGCAAAGTGAGTCCAACATGGAGGACATTTTTGATGAGATTCTTCCAGTTCTGAAACAAGAATAAAAAATACCACTTAAAGTTTAATTTGTTTTTTTATATTGACCTTTACTGATGAGAAGGCCAATCCTAAGGCAGGTGTGATTTTTAGAGATCTGCTTTAATACATTTTAAGTAGCATCTGGGGTCAAGTAAGAGGAATCAAATGTACATCAACTGCAGAGTTATCGGGGCAATATGATAGCCTTGTTGTCTGTCAGACTGTTTATACTACAAATTAGTAAGTCTGACTGCACATCAATAAAACTTGTCAAAAATCAATGTCACTTGTTGGCAGGGCTACAAATAGTGCCATTTAGGTAGAGAGTGTAACAGTAATTTAATTCTGAACATTCAAACCCCAACTTGGCACTATTTATTTTATTGTACTGGAGTGATTTAAGTGGCGGTTAACATGTTGTTGAAGAACTAAGATTCTCAGCATGTTTTGCACGCCAAGGTCATTCATTAAGAAACTTTTTTATTTTTAGAAAAAATACATAACAAGCATGTGGCAAGAATATATAAATCTTCTGTACAATCACCAGACAAATTAAGAACATTCACCTCTTCAGGGACCTCGTGCTTTTGGTGACACTGGGGAAATAGTTATGAACAAATCTGTGTTATTTTACTGTTTCCTCCTTTGTCCACAGTACCAGTTGGTCATATTGTGGACAAGAGCAGATCAGTAGATCTGAGCTGGGGGCTCTTGAATTGCACACATGGTAGAAACATATTAGTACTGTTCAGTACAGACATCTGGGTTTTTGGGGCCACTAGTAATTTGGCATATTTCATGTCAGTGGTAATTTTTTATACCATTGATGTACTACAAAATAGATCTGTTCTGTACGATGCATACATGGTTGATAAATTACCAAAGCTATCTTCAAATTTTCAAAATCCAGAAACATGCTGCTCTGATAAACAACTAAAAACAAAATTTGAATTGAAAAAAAAAATTGCATGTTTCAACCTTTATATAGGCTTGTTTAAACCCATATGTTCTAAAGGAAGCTGAGAGCATTGCTTTAACTGAGGGTCAACACTGTCAGACAGGCCTGCTTTTGCTTCAACCTGACTATATACATTGTACTTTACCTAGATAACAATTTTTTTTCTGCACATGAGGGGAATGCAGTTGATCACATGGTTTAAAATTTGTGTATCTGGCTTGTCATAATATTGCAGAAATTGTAATATTTCTGCAATATTATGTACTGTATGTATGGTTATTGCCTAAAGCACCTACAGTATATATCAATGTCACTGATCTCAGTATCCAATCTAAAAAAAATGATTTGACATATGCCACTAGATTTCCACATTATGATTAAATCTGTTGAACTGTTATCTACTATAATATTTTTTGCCACAATCCCTTGTAATAATGTACCTGGAACAGCACCATCACCAGCCAATATGGCAGATTGGGCTAGAGGCGCTCATCCCTTTATAGCTTGAAGTATGATCTCTGCGCAGGAATCATGAGCTGTGCGTAATTCGACACTTAATAATTTTATGGTTGTTTTCCTTTAAATAACAAACAGGACCTTTTCAATTGACAACAAACGGTAATTCTCAACAATCTGCTCTAATCCAGGAAATAGAAAAAACCTTGAAAAAACATAGGGAACGTTCCATCAAAAATAAATTTTCTCCAAATAGCTTGTATTTCGTAGAGATATATGGGTTTTTTTTTCTAATTTATCACTCATCAGACTGAACAGTCCTTGTTTGAAAACAGCCTAGAAAGATATCTGGCATTTTGGTTTATAAAGTCTTTACAAATGCAGAGACCTGTCGGGTTTTAACCAGCACAAGATAAAATAGCAGTGCCAATCATCACTGGAATACACTTAAGTCTTCATCACGTAAACTGCCCAATTATCAGTGAGTCACCCACTGCCTTTGCAGAGTAAAGACCGAACATTCTGAAGATTGCATTTCAAGAAAATGCATTTAGATTAACCCTTAAAAAGCAGGTCTGACCAACCGAGAGAAATCCCCTTTGAATGAAATGTATTTTATCTTCTGTGCTTTTTAAATGCAAATATTCTATTATCCTTTTTAGAAACATAAAATATTTAACTGAGATATGTTGATCAGTGTAGCCTGTACAAAGCCACTATTTTGCTACATATCAGGGTTAAGTCCCCCACCAGCATCTTATGTCTTCCAGGCACAAAATCTCTTCACCTCAGGTCAAGGTCAAGCCAACAGCCATGTCTGCCACAAGGGGCTCTCACTTCCCATTTTGGATTTTTAAAAGTTTACACTACAAAGAAAATGCCAACCAAGTATGAAAAGAACATATCAGTCAAAAGTCACAAAATCGATATGTATTACAATTAACTTATAGCATACGTAAACTCTAGCTGCATGACTTTTGGGGGTCTATTCACTAAGCTGCAGTAGGCAGCCAAGTTAAAGACCGACCTGAAGGGAAGTGAGCCGGACGCTGTTCAGCTATTCACTTCAGGCTGGTACGGCTGATCTCAGCCGTACATCGGGTGGCTTTGCGTGGCTTCGGGTCGGCCGAACATGCAGAGCATCTGCATCGGCTAAGCCGAACCTCCGGCAGGCTACTCGCTGCTGTTCGGTCTATTCTTATAGATACCAAACAGCAGTGAGTGAATAGCCGAATGCTGCTCACTGTTCTGCTCAGTCCCTTAGAGGGACCGAGCAGAACAGAAAAATTGTTTAAAAAGTCCAAATAAATAAATAGAAAACCATTGTGCGGAGCTAGCAATGACAGCAATAGTTTTCTATTGGCCGGCGGCTCTGCTGCCGTCAAAAAAAAAGAAAATAAAAAAACTCTCCCGGGCGCTCTGGGAGTCTCTCTCCCGGCCGCCCAAGAGAGAAACGCTGATTTTTCTTTTTTTCTTCTTTATTCTGACATGGAACTGTGTCAGAATAGAAAAAAATATATATTTTTGCCGTTGGAATACACTGCTAGATTCCTATTGGCTATTTCAATTTGCAATAGCCAATAGTAAAGTAGCATTGCACCCGCCCTCTGCTGCAGTTCTCCATCAGGTCCATCAGCAGAGGGCAGGTGCAATGCTAGTTTACTATTGGCTATGGCAAATTGAAATAGCCAATAGGAATCTAGAAATGCATTCTAATGGGCAAACATTTTCTTCATTTTTTTTCTATTCTGACACAGCTCCGTGTCAGAATAAAGAAAAAGAAAGAAAGATCAGTGTTTCTCTCCTGGGCGGCCTGGGAGAGTTTGCTGTCTGGAAATCAGTGTCCCTGACTCAGCCGAGCCGAGGCATATGCCTTCGGCTCGACTGAGCCGCTCGGCTAAGTTCGGGAGCTGTACGGGCTATTGTGAATAGCCCGTACAGCAGCCCTTCAGTTCTACTGAACTGAAGGGGTCCTGGGGCCGAAGCTAGCCGAAGGCCCCTTTCACACTATCCGATCAGGAGGGGATCTGTGCATGAATCCCCTCCTGATCGGAGCGTTAAGGATTGGATGTCACCACTGTGACATCCGTATCTGTCCAGTTTTCTTCTCCATCTTGGGATGGAGGAAAAAACTAAAATGACCGGACCCCATGTCGGTCTACAAGGAATCAGATGTAAAGGGACATGTGTCTCTTTACATCAGATTACCCCTGATCTGGCACCACTAGGTCTAGTTAAACAGAACAGTGTTCCATTTGTTTTTCCAGAGCTGGCTGGAGCCGAGGGCAACCGGATGTAAACGGAACATGTTCTTTTAGATCTAGTTGCCCACAGACTTATAATGGGTATCCAATCAGATGCGCCTGAAAAACTGACAAGTGGATCTGAAGCGGGCCTTAGCAATTAAATCACAGTTGGTGCATCTGCAAATGTGCAACATTTTGTATGTCTATCATTCAAAATAATAGATTTATCATAATGTTGAAGTTCAATGTATTAAATGTGTTGCAATCCCTTGTGTCTGCTGTTTTGTCATGTGAGAAAGTGTGGCTGAATTGCCTCAGATTTGTCCACAGAATTGTCTCAGATTGAGTTTTCCCCTAATCAGCCCTCTGTGCCTGTTTAAGAAGTGGCCTGCATCACTGTTTAATTTAGAGTCAGGTCAGTGTCTTCATTGGGCCGAAAACTTATTTTAAATTAACAAATTAACAAAACCAATTTATGAAAGCAGGCTGGCCACCCTTCACATGATAACCGATTGGTTACATAATCATGAGAAGACCACCCCCCAAGGGATGATACAGTATATGCATCAGTTACTTGCTTGTAAATTATACAAATTGTATGCATGTCATTGTTCTTATCCATCCACTTCTTGTACCATCACATTATATCATTATACTGTATGTGCATATCTTCATTGTATATGTTGTCAAATGTCTAAAAAATTCCTTTACATGCTGAATATAATTTCTGGAAAAAAAGAGCCAGATTTGAGGCCTGAGCAAGGACCTTCATGGCAGTGAAAGCTGATGTTGAGAATGAGTTTTGAAACTCCATTAACTTTTTAAAGTGCATGTAAAGTCAATTATTTTATGTTTTTGATAAAGTGAAGAAAAGTTAAAACCTGTTTGAGGCTTTTATTTAGTCTGTATATTTGGCACTGGAATTGATGGGAAACTTCTTAACTATCAGCTACTATATGCAAAATGAAAAACATTTTGGATTTAAATAAAGCTTATATGAGAATTAAAATGATGAGGTTTACAGATTCTTTAAATTAAACGTTTTGTCTTTATACATTATCTCCAGAATTGTTTAAATCTATTTTACATATTTCTCCATTGTTTGCATTTCATGACTTAATTATTGTACTGTTTATGCCTCTGAAGATGCTTTCACTGTGTATTTCTGATTAGGGTGGGATTAAGAGAACAAGCAAGGCTGTTTAGTTTGGAATACAATTGTCTAATCAGTACTTGGATATGATTTGTTTAATTTTATATTTAATATTGGTCAATAAAATCTTTGTGGTTTAACATTTGACTGGTACTTTCACAAAGCACTACTACGAATACAGTCTTAGCATTTTCCAAT